AATATTAGTTAATTGTACATAATTAAAAAGAATTATCTTAAAAATCTAAAAAATTATTACCATTGTTCTAAATTCGAACTGATAGGTTCTAAAAGTTGAGTAAGATTTTCATAATTAAAAACAACCATATTAAGTACTTATTATCATTATAACCAATTGTTCAATCTTTAATTTTTGAATATCTTATTAAAAAACTAATATCCTTCTTCTCTTTAATAGGTCATGAATCAAGTTTCTTTCCCCAGCAGCAAACTATTTTGAATATTTGTTAATTTTACTTAAAATTTATATGAGAAATAGAGATTTCATAATAAATGAAAGAATTGAATGATTATAGATTACTAATACTATATTTTATAAAAATATATATATTTTTATAAAATATAGAAGAGCCTTTTGATTGGTTAAGTAAATTATATATATATATATATATTCACTCAGCTGTTTATTATGATAGGTATTTTATACTAATTCAAATATGATAAATATGTTCCAAGGATTTTGGAGACCTACCAATTTACCAGATAATGCAAAGTATTGTTTTAAGAATCCATAATTTTAAATTTGAGGTTAGGTTAATATTGAATTCTAATTATTTTATGGCTTTTTGTCAATATCTTTGTCTTTATAAAGGATAGTTCTTATTTTATATCTAAGGATTTGGTATCTATATTTATCATAGAAAATATGGATACCAAAAATGTTTATTTAAAAATATTGACAATGATATTATTAATTGTGATGTAATTTATTATAACATTTATTGGATCAATGTGTAATGTTGTGATTCAATTATTGATTTTATCCTATTGATGATAAATTAAAATAGATTAGATAAAATTAAATTTAAAAGGCATATTTCCTATTTATTGAATGAATACAAAATAGAAGGATTTTATTATTAATATATTCAGCTATTTAAGAAAGCAATCTTAATATTTATTCTGACTAATTTTAAGACTGAAAGAGTTTTGAAGGCTTCACTATTTGGATTGTGTTTATTAATGTATCAGATATTAGCAGCATTTTGTTAACTATTCATTAATCGGCAATTTAATAATATTGTATTAAAAATAGACCCTTCTATTTTGAAAGATTTTAGATTTTTAGAATGAATAAGTAGTTAATTGAATTCTTTAGATTAAATAGAGAATAACAAGCTATTTATTAATATATATTTGTTAGTCTTTACATATTATGGAATCAATTTTGGATTATTGCAAATCTTCAACTAATCATAGCTATTATAAATCTCTTTTCTCTTACTATTCACTGTGCATCTTGTTTCAAT